TGCTCGAGTTCTTGAGGCCTAGTGAGAAGCTTGGTAAGATCCAGGTACGCGAGGATAACGAGGGTGCGATTGCACTTGCTGAGAATCCACTTAGTTCGTGTAACAGTAAGCACATTGACGTGAGGCACCATTTCCTTAGGAATTTGACAGAAGAGGGAGTGTTGGAAATCAGTCATGTCGCTAGCGAAAGACAGCATGCGGACATCCTGACGAAGGCGCTGCCGAAAGATCTTTTTGAAGTTCATCGTAATTTTGCTCTAGGCTCGAGATCTGAGAAGTAGATAGAGGTCTGAGTCGTGTTTTCTATTTTTGCTATTTCTGATATATATTTGGTCTGGTCGAGACAACAGCCCCAAGGGAGGGTGTTCGTGATTATTGCTGCTGTGTGTCGACAAGTAGCGCAGAACACTAACAGGAAGTTCAAATAACGGGACTGTCGTTTGGTAGGAATGTTTCTAGGAATGTTCTTCGTGGATGGTGTTCTCGGTATGTCGGATGGTTCATAGACCCGAGCGTGTTCTCGGTATGTCGGATAGTACATTGGTCCGAGTTCCATGTTTTGTGTGTTGGTCGAGCGACATGGCTGATGCTGCGGTGCTCGCGCACCCAGCTCACTCCACCTTTTGACCTGTTCTCCTGGTCCAAGGTCTCATCAATACAACATCTTTTCCCCAGAAGCCACGAGTTTACCAACAGAGGAGTATGAGGAGGGTAATGAGCAGGTCGAATCGCGGGGCGATTACGCCGCGGGTTCAACAGCGAAGTTGCGCCGCGTCTGTCTACCCTTGGGTGGAAAGCGCTACTAGGGGCAAGCGCGGAAGAAGTACCTAGCCCACCGTTGATAGGAGGCACCGAGCAACCCAGGGCTTGAGTTAGAAGGTCTCGCTTTTCCCTCTAGAGAAATATCTTGAAAACCTCCTTTTCGTGCCCCGTTTTCCACCCTCCCGCCAGTTGCTGTCTATAAGCCCTATCAAATGTCCCCTCGTATCGAGGGGACAATTTGATAGGGATTATACGCAATAGACGGCTCAAGTCGGAAGGCAGCTTTGCACTTGCACCCAGGGATGGAACTGTCTGCACCATCCAATCAGCAGGCGTCGTTCGCTCTTTGTCTTACATTTCAGAAATTTCGCACGAACGCCGAATTTTCTGTGCGTGGTAAGGGGGTTAGGTGGCCAACACAGACAGACACACCAGACAGACCGTTATAGATCAGGCAGTATGCCAGCAGCACCCAAGGTACGACAAGGACAGCTAGAGTACCCAGACAGTCCGATAGATCACAGAGAGAGATATCCCAAAGAGTGAGGTCGTGCACCGAACGACAGAACGAGCTACAAACTACGTACAGCTCTCACAGCAGTAGTTGCTCCGCATACGTTACGTTCCAACCGATGCATGGACTAGATAACACATACAATACGTCATTCGTCTACATAAGCAGTAGTACTGAACATTGACTAAGACAGGGAGGTCTATTAACCGATGTTGCACTTTGCAAGGCTAGGTTCCTCACGCGAGCAAGGCTAGGTTCCTCACCCCACATCTACCCTAACCCTAACCCTAACCCTAACCCTCACCCACGGCCAAAGCACGGCCTAGCGGCCGCGAACTGGTCGAGAACGCGGCTGCGCCGCGTTCTCGGAATGCGAACGGCGAGAGGGCGCTGGAGAGGGTCAAGGCTAGGAACCAACGCCGGACCAATCAGAGGGCGTAAAAGCCGTTAGATAGGAAGAGTCACTAACAGACTGCAAAAACTACTGAAGACAGGACATGCGTAGTAGGCATTTCCATAACAATCATCACCAGGTTGTTGTTGATCGCCACGTGTTGCAACTCAGATGAAGCATCAATCGAGTGTAGAAATACCATCTCGCTGGGCCCACCTCTCCTCGAAACGATGTTGACGAGGAAGAAGAGTGCTCGTCGCTGCCGCCGGGAACTTCGACAGGAAGAAGGTGATGATCCTTGTCGTTTGGCACGGTGATCGTAGGCGAACCTTGGTTGATCTTGTGGCTGCTGCTGTTCCGGGTAGAGCCATGACGACCCCCAAAGCTGCCGCCGCCGCCACCGCCAGTAGACGGGAACAACAACGCTTGCCTCTCACCGGTTTTCGACGCCATATGCCGAAGAAGATATCCAGCACCACCTTTGTTGTCACCCACTGACTGACTTGGGAAGTTTCTAACCGATAAAGACCTGCCGCCGCCGTTCGTTGCTTTGTTGTTGGTGAATCGGAAGGCTGTAAGTATCTCTCGTTTTATTTGCTGTATGCTACTAAGTAGTATCCGGCGTGTCCTCTGGCGTGTCCTCTGGTCTCCTGGCGGCGGTATCCGGCGTGTCCTCTGGTCTCCTGGCGGCGGAAGAAGAGCGTGTGCGCGTGCCTGTGGAGAATCGCTGCGAGGCCATCTACAAAGCGTGCCGTGTATACTATAGCCCGGCGGGGTTAGTCACCGGTACCATGCGGAGGCACGAATTTACGTCGGTCGGCAAAATATTCCTCCATCTTCGGCAGTAATGACACTCCGTGCCACCTCTACGTTGCTTTTCTCACGTCATGAGAATAATGCCGTGATATCATTTTTTTTTTTGCGCTCATCATATCTTGAAAATGCCGTGATAGTTCTCCTCTTCTATCTTTGACCTTGCTTTCTTTGCGTTCTGTGTATCTGCGACAAGTACGTGTGACAAGTGACGAGACCCTCTTTGTTCCACAGGGAACCCGTGCGCCGGTGATGACACTATTACGAAGGAAGTACAATAATACTCCCTCTGCGGTGATGGCGTTTGTTGGATTGGTGTTGTGTGTCCCTCCTGAAGGGCTCCCGCCGCCCGTGTGACGTTCTGTTCGAGAGGATGGCCGTATAGCATGTAAACTGGCGGGGTTGCGAGGCACAAAGAAAACGCGTGATAATTAATGGTCAATGGTGTTGTTTCGGCATCCAACTCGTGTCGTCGGGAGAAGAAATTGCACCTCCGCCAAACTACCAAGCCAATCGTCCGACGATGCCTATGCCCTTGGACTAAACGGATTCCACAGGCTACAATTAGTGGTAGAGGGAAACTCTTTTCGGGATTTCTCGAGATTCCAACACACCGGACCGCTTTTCACGGCATCTTCATAGTTTTTTAGTAGTGCTTCATTCAAAACAACGGGGGGAGCTTTGAAAATCGGTCTACACATTCAGCAGAAGTGGTGACACCCCTCTCAGGTCATGTCACAGAGTGGTTCCATTTTCGGCCACATCCAAGCGCCGTGGGGGTAGGATCACTGACTTACGTAGTACTGGACGCCCATCGTTAGGTTTGGCGACGCAGATGGCTGACCACTTGCCTAGGATTGCGTCTCCAGTAGTAAAGGCACCTCAATATCACACCACTCACTTGCTTACCACACATACGCGCTCGTAAAGGGCAACACGGTAAAAAAACTTGCATCCGGTTGCCGCCCATCCTTCTATCGGTAGCGGAATATATAATCTAGGGACAAGGGTGAAAGGGTGATACGTCTGTATGTTGGTCTACATCAGTCCAAATGACTCCACACTGCATTTGTGTCAGTCTAGCGGACGGGAAGGATGCGGGACCGCTGTGACAACCATTCGCGGTCGTCGAGGCGTAGCCCTGGCTGGACAACAACCATTGTGACATGTGCGGATGCATACGGAAGAAAGTACGCCCACAACAAACGTTATGTTGCGTTATCCCTCCTTTCGATGGACAAGAAGCTGGAAGAACACTTTTGGTTGGGCTTGATAACGTTGTCATACGGACACCGGGAGTTAATTTTCCGGCTTATTCTTTTGATCGTTCTTCCCCAAAAAACAAAACAAGAAAACAAATTCCTGAGCCTTTCCACATGATGGAACACGAACAGACCGGATTCTCCGAAAGAGTTGTCAGAAAACATCTTCCATAGGCTACGCAAGAAAAACCTCCGAACCCCCCGTCGAAACCAAGACCATTTGTGTCTTGAAAACGGTCGAGATATCGCAACGACCCTGATATGATTCTTACACAAGTTCCGCAAACATGGTATTTTATTTAGCAACATAGCACACACAAACAAACGAGCGCTTCTTGGTGCAGGGTGTAAGCTACGGCCCGCGGGTAACGCCACGCGAAGCCGATCCAACCACGTTGCCCGCGCAAGGCGCAACGACAGCAAACACACACCACACACCCTTTGCACTACATATCACAAGATGGCAATGTACACCAGATCCTTGCCGCCGCTTCCAAAAAAGATTACAGCCCTACAGCGCACAGCAGTGGGCAAGGCAGGGCTACTTTAGAACCAATCCCCGTCCTCGTGTGAGTTACGTGTCGTTGAACCAAAACAGCATCGAACTCCCTACGAGCCGGTTCATTCCTCGCTCGCGTATAACGAAACACACGATTGATGGCAACACATGCGCACTGGTGTCTGCAGCCGTTCTCAACAACAAACGTCGTTGCTGGTCTACGTTTGAATTTCCTCATTCCTTTAGGCGAAAATCGTGACCCGCTTCGTCGACGTATCATTGCCCCGCAGGTGAAGCCTTACGACGACAACTTGAAGAAGGAAGTCGCCCTGCCGACAGGACACAAACGGAAGAAACGAGGGCCAGGCAACGACAATCAAACCAAGACACCAAAGACGGCGGCTCGCTCGCATCTCAAGAGCCAAATTTCGACGCACTCGCCTGCACAAGCGGAGCGCAACAGTTTCATGAAGCAACAGGTAAAACTACCATACACTAATGATACAAGTGCTTGACGGGGCGACTGCAGTAGAAGGAAGTTTGCTTTTCCGGGCTTGGTAGGTATGGGCAGGCGTATCCATTGCGGCCAATTTCATTTCGGCAACCAAGGGGCAACCCACGCTGGAAAATGCTCCCGACAGGATTTCCCTATTTCGATTTACCATCAGGGACGAGGTGGAGTCCGACCGAGTATTGCACGGGCACAAAGCCAATAAACATAGATGGAAGCACGGCGTACGGGCCGGGGGTAGGACGGGTCGGGCCTGTTTGTAATCCAAGGTGTACATCATTTATCCCACGGGGATAACCGGGGACTCTTGAAGGGGAATCCATTTGTGATCGTCATCCCCGTCCACCACCGAACGTCGCTCATGCTTCATAACGCGTTGATAGGATCGTACTTTCTACAAGGCAAAAATTGGATTGTTGCGGGGGTCGGCCGGGTGCATCGATTGGAATATAAACTGGTCAAATATTCGTGCGCGGCAAGAGGAAAACGCGAGAGAGCTCAGTCTTTGAAACTAGCTATCGGCATCAGCCTTGTCTGCCTTTTGCAGGGGCCTAATAGTGAGCTGGGTAGTACATCTCCTCATTGCTCTCTCGTTTCCAATGCCACCACGATACGGTTCGACCCGCTCGCGACTGCAACACTCGCGGTCCTTGTATGCGCATCCAAGTGCTTGATTAACTTCCAACAAGAGAGGAGGGCTGCAACCTACATCCACCAAATTTCACTACAGCACTCGTGACTATCTCATACCTCTCGTTGTCGCAAGCCACAGCGTGCTTGGACATCAGTTACACCATTAGAACCACACGCAAGGACGCACGCGCGATGAGCCTAGGGACGACTGCTGCTGCAGGGCGAGTGAAATCTTTCCTCAAGCTCCACGACAGCAGTGTAGTGCGTGCGGTACACGCCCTTCGATGATGCGCTCTAATCGTCAACGGTTCGTGGTGAAGCACTTCGAGAAAACGTTCACCAGGAACACCCCTTCGACGAACGCCTCGCCGTCCATCTTAAGACGTGTCGTGACGTCGCTCGTTCCCCGGACTTGGGAAGATGACCTCGTTGGTCCGGCCTGACGTGCGCATATAATAGGTACGAAAAGACAAGACGCCAGGAGCGCGTGAGTTTGGACAGACGAGTTTCTCGACTCCAGAGGGGACAAAAGGGTGGAGAAGGACACACCAATGCGTGTGACGAACTTGGTTGGCAGTATGACTCGATGCCCTCGTGAAAAGGATTCGCGACAACCAGGCAATTTTTGTCAACAGGAGTACAACTCCTCTTTCCAGCGTACGGCTTCAAATATTCAAATATGAGTAGGAAAATGTCTCGCCGAATAATTATGCTCGTAATTCCGTGGGGTTGTCGGAAACGGGCAAACTCAACACGGCGCACCCCCCGACATGGCTCTTTGCAAAGCACACGTCGGAGGAATGCTGTCGCAGCCTTTAGTAAGGAAAAGGGTCAAGAGATTGACGCTGTCACGATGGGACCCTCGGAGCGGAGGCAAAACCGCCTCTTCTCCTTCCGAGGAAGAGGGAAAAGCGGGCCTCTGACACGCCGAGGGGGCTTCGAAGTCGCGTCGGCCCTTCCCTGTCGCAAATGAGACTGCTGGCTGTATGTACTAAATAGCTAGCTCGAGAGACACAACGCCTCCCCTTCAACACGGGCAAAGAGTGTTCAAAACACAATACGGTACTTCTACACAAGATACCATATCTGTGTGACAAACGAATGGGATAATTGAAGTACGTAGCACCCGGATGGTCATGGTTGTGTGGTAGATACCACAGCCGTGTGGTTTCTTGCGTCATCCGTGAAAAACACGCGTCGATGTACTGAAAACTGGTGGTATTGGGGGGTTATCTGGATAACAAATCAAAGCATCCCGGTGGCGTACTGCGCAACTTTACGAAGGTGGCAACTTAGCATCGTTTGGATTCTACTGCTGTATATCATGTCACCTACAGCAGTGGTACGCAAGACAACACCCTGGTCGGTGTCACGGGGAACGATTCCCAGCCACACACGCGCCATTTTCTCAGCAGACCGGACGCGGAATGAATTTGTTCATCACAAACGGGTGTCATTTTGAGCATGACGTGTGTAGCAATGGAAACAGGCACCATGGCAAAGCGAGTAGCGGCTCTGCATACCCTTTCCCGGCGGCTGCCCTTTTAGCGCACGATGCAACCAAGTTGTGTGTTGGTGCAGTGCACAAAGCATTTCACAGAAAAAAAATCGCGGGAGAAGGGCGGAATGTCCTCTGGCAGGCGATGGCGGGGAGTGGATGGAAGCAAGCAACATGGCCGCACTTGAGTGCTGTGGTCATCAACGTGGCCAATCGAAGCACAACGTTGCACGGCAGCTGGGTAAGCGTATTGCATGTCGATCTTTGCATCGAGGGGGCGCTCTGCTACAGCTGTGCAGGCTACAATAGATATGAACCAACGCATGTTCCCTACCAACGGAACACGAATATTGCCGTGTTAGCCTTGGGCCGCCCACCATTTGCTCGCGCCATCAACGCTGACTGCTGTGTGAGCACGACAAGAGAGTTGCTATATCCAGCCAGTCATCCATCTCGGGCACAGGAACGCAACGGGACAGCATCAAACAGGAGCCTTCTACCCTGAACGCACGGGCCACGGAATAGGACTGTTTCGCGCGTGTGCCTAGTGAGGCACGCACACCTTTTTGCGGAGGGCACGCGCCATTTTTTGCGGCGAGCGAACGCGCGCCACCCCGACGCACTCATCTCTCCGGCACACGTCATTTCTGTCACTACCGGGAAAACAAGAGCCCGAGTGTATGTCCGCCCAGCAAACAAACGACCAACACCTTCGCAGGTCTTGATTACAACAAAACGCACCTCTCCACCATGAAGACCCCTCGTCGCCCCACAGGATTGGTGGGGCTCAGCAGGCAGCGGCAGGCTTGCGCGTGCAGCAGGCGTCGCTCGCTGCAGAGGCGGTCAAGCCCATGCCGTTGGCCTGAAGCGGACGCCCTTCGCATCGGGGTTTCTTCGTCTAGGAGAGGTCATCGTGGGCCGCGGAGGGACAGAGAGAGGAGTAGGTTGTTGTGCGCCACAGGTGGGCTGGCGGCGGCGGCAGCAGCAGAAGCAGCTCGGAGGGACCAGCGGATGGCAGAAAGATTCAATGGAGCTGGCGAACGCCTATCTGCGTGTGCCCCTGGAGGGCGGCACCCTTCAAACACGACAACTAGCGGGATGGGGAAGCAGCAGCCCGTGCAGCAAGCGCAGCTTCCGGGCGACCTGGAGAAGCACGGCGACGGAAGAATGGGCGATTCGACTGCTTCCGAGAGCAAGTGAGAACAGGGGGGTTAATATTTGATTGAGCATTCCTGCAACAAATTGAACTGATTTTTGTACATTTGTTGTGTTGATACTTTTTGCCAGCAGGCTCAAACTCGAATCTAGTTGCCCCAGAGGAGCAGGCGGGGAGCTGAAACCACCTTCACCGCCGTCGATACTGTAAGCATGACCACGCTGTTCCGCATGGTGTCTGCGTCGTGCCGTCGCGTTGGAAAAAACTCTTGTCTGGGATATGCATATCGTGTGCCTAGACGTACCTGCACCCGCGACGGCGTAACTTACTGCGCATGAGTTGGGCTTGTCGCCCCAAGCGGCGGACGGTTGGCGTCAGTTGGCGGCGGCTTTCTGCCGCAACACCCCCCTCTTGTGTTGGTTGTTAGTTGTTGGTTGTTGGTTGTATTTTCTCTCTCGGATGCATCGATGCATCTACAGCCCGTTGAACGTAGTTCTAGTACTCCCCCCCCTCTGGGACGATCTGTGTGTTGTAGTACTTCTCACTGACCTTTTCGGATTCTGTTCGAGTGGACAACAAACAATCGACGATATCTTAAATGAAGGACGTGGTTCTGGTGACCCGCCCGGACCACCTCCTACCATAAACCGACCGCTATGTGTAGGCATGCTGCTCGTAGATACAAACAAACTTTTTTCGCGAATTGAAGTACATCAGTAGATACACTATCTTGTTTCTACGCTATTTTCAGTACTCACAACCTTTGAAACCGCCGTGCCGAACAACGCCAGGCTTACGCGTTTTCCAATGTTCACACCAATTTTGGTTTCACGTTCCATCCCCTTTGAACAGGGGCAGCAGACGATCGGCCAGACAAGCTTTCGAGGACTGCCCGCTCATCGAGATCGTACATTTCCATGGTAAGCCGAGAGAGAGAGAGATTATGCCGGCGGGGAAAGGGGGGGCGGTACATAGACCGTCTCGTTGTATTGATTGCGTGGTAAGCAAAGGTGAAACTGCTCTGTCGATTTTGATCCCGTGGCCGACGTACGGCAGTATTCGAAGAGTAGGGCAAAGTGCAAAGAGCCAGTGCACCCTCAGACCGACCACACTATTTGTACGAGAAATGGCGATTTGAACCGTCCCAACAATTGCCGCGGGCAACCTTGCGCTTTCACGACGACGATGGTGCTTTCACACGGTGGCGGTGCACCGCCGCTTCGTCAGGAGGTGGTCGGGCGAAACATCGGGGCTGATTCGCGTCAAACATGACACCTACCTGCATTGATCCATACTCCCCACAGCGCCCCTGTGCTGAATAATCCGTGTTAGGCGCTTCTACTGGCACAGCGGCAGCCGTTGCAAATGGGCGTGACCTGTTCAGGTTTTCTTGGCCTGAGTTGGCGTTTATCCCCCAAAACCACGAGCTAAACGATCACCTTGTTTTTGCCTACCGTACCGTGCGATTCGCACAACACCAACGACCGATGCACAGAGTGCTTGCGCGGGGAGCTGCGTTCCCTCCGAACAAACGTCCAGACCCTGTGCCGCCAGATGCGAGACCTCCACCACAAAACGCCGTCCGCCGTGGCAGCAGCGCCTTCGCCACGGCAGCAGCACCACCACCACCACGACGGGGACCAAGCCGCAACGGCGCCGATGACGCTTGAGCTAGAGGGCGACGACGCTGATCGGACCGAGAAAACGGTACCGGCGGCGGCGGCGGCGGCAGCGGCAGCAGTGGCGGCGGCCCCGTCCACCGCCAACGACGCCTCAACAACAACACCAGGGCCGATGTCGCCTTCTTCCTCTGCCGCAGCGGGGCCGACGGCGGAGTCGCTTCCGGCGCAGCACCTGGAGCTGGAGGTGCGGGTGCAGAGCCAGTTTCAGCTCCTGTGGGCCGTGTTCCAGAGCCACTCCACGGCGGAGGACGAGGTTATCTGGCCCGCGCTTAAGGAGAAGGCCCGCTCCAGCGGTGGAAAGGTGAGGCGGCGGTATATGTGCTTCTAGTTCCATGACCTCCGTTTTCACCACACATGTGTTCTCCCTAGGGTAGCATGTGTTTTGTTTTTTTCTGGTGCCGGGTCTGGTGGTGGTGGTGGTGGTGGTGGTGGCTGTGCCTGTAGTGTTTTTTTGAGAAACGTGGCGGGGAGATAGGTTTACGGTTTTGCGCGTGCTTTTCCCCCGCTTTAGCTGGTCTAACTAGATGACGAGAACGCCCGCCGGTCTTCACCTGGAGGAAAGGGAGGCCCGTATAACCTTTGTCCATCGCATTCAATTCTCCGCCCGAGAAATGTGATGGCGCCGGGGATGTGATTCCAGTACTGTAACTCCTCCTGCGCGTTGACGCCTGTCACAGCAGCACTTGCGATTTCGGTAGCCAGGCGACCAGACAGGACGTGGAGATCCCGCGCCCTAGAACAACTAGCGTACCCTTCTGAAGGGCGCATTATCACTCGGTTTGCGGACGCAGAGTGCAATGTTCCGCCTATATAAATAGTAATAGTTCATCCCGGTGTCACTGTTCCCACATTTCGTGTTGACGGCCCTTGCCTTGTCTTGTCTAGACCTTCAACGCGAAACCGGCTGTTGTCTTGTCTTGTCTCGTCTATCCGACAATAGCTGAAGCTGGTGAACCACGGTGATGGTTCCGACACACCAACAGCAGCACCACCACCACCACCACCACCACCAGCCGCAGCTACAGCAGCTGCGGAGGACATCCCGTCCAACGGCACGGGGGCCGCAAGAAACGAAGGCAAAACCTCGAAAGACGAGCAGCAGGATGACCCTTCTCGCGTGAAGGGAGAGGCCACCGCAACCGATGGCGCTAGACGGGCGGAGCAGCGAGAGGTTGTCGCTGGTGGTAGTGGTGTGGAGGGAGGGCGAGGGGGGGGACAGGACGGGGATGGGGGGCAGTTCGGGGAAGCGATGATCGACGAGGCCGAGTACACGGAAGAGCATCACGAGGAGCAGCTGCTGTTCGAGGGAATGCAAGAAGTGCTCACGGTGAGGGAGACGGAACGCCGGCTAACGGGATGGGAGGAAGGGCGGGGGGAAGTACGCTCATGCTTTGCATGCCTTTTACTGGTTAGACCGTTGACGAGGGGTGGGGTGGGCAGTCGAAATCAGTTGTACCACAAAGGCTAGAGTGGAACGGTACTACTCCCCATGGTTTTGTGTTCCTTGGTCGAAGTTTGCTGAGGCCTTGAAATCGAAATCGGAGTTGCATGTGTCGTGTTCAAGGAAATGCTCGTGGTGTGGGGCGGGGAAGTGAGAAACCCAACCAAGCGTTCGTGGCAGATTTTTTCCCGTCTTACTTTTTGAGCACAAATTCACGCTCAATTTGCAAGCACCGTCCATGTGAGTCACTTCGAAGCCCTTTCATCCATACGACGTTGCTATTTTCAAGATCCTGAGTGCACATCAGCAACATGATGCTTAAAGATAAAATAGGTGGAAACAAGCTTGGTTCCCCAGAGCATGCATAACACAGCTACTGCTGTAGATTTGTGAACGCGAAGAGATAAAAGGATGGCGTTAACCAAGAGGCAAGCCAGCCGATAGTTACACGACACGCTTGTCAACGATGTTTGATGTTGTGCTGCTGTGTGTGCAAGCAAGCACAGACACCAGTGTGGCCTGCGTGTGGTGACTCCTGCCGACTTTCGAGAACCAACCGTCGTTTTCCGGCCGCGTGTGTGTCCGATTTTTTTGTTTTATGTTCGCCCAAAAAGGGTCTGCGAAACACGCGGCACAGCAGCGTCACCGAGCGGCTGGAGGTCGTAAACGGCCTCGGCAAGAAGGCCGACGAGATGTGCAGGCACCTCATGACCCACCTCGACAAGGTGTGCGTGTGCAGCTGGTGGTGGTGGTGGTGGTGGTCTACCGCACCAGCATTGTTACTGGTTTTGTTTGGGGGGACGTGGAGGATGCTTGGTGCGTGGGTGAAAGTCGGTCGGTCGTCTCTTTTTGGGCAACCCAGGCTGGTCGCGCGCGAACGTCCGAGATGGCGTAAAATCGTAAGAGGTCCAAGCCGTTGTAAATAGTCGACAACGGTTGACGAGGCGTCGAGACGGAACGGGTTTGAGGCATGCTGAATAGTTGGCGAATTTCCTTCGCGTTGTCAAAGCACCAAGTTCTCATCAGGTGGTCAGTGGTGGACAGCAGGTGATTGTACACAGCCCCCATTCTGCGTACTGTAGGATGTTGCGTGCCAGGTGGTTCCAAAGAGCGATGCTTTGGTAGAGCTGATGAGTGTCTGGGGTAACGTCGACCGTAAGAGATGCCTACTCCTTGGCAGTTCTCGCAGCATCACGGCATGGTCGACCGCCATGCCAGATTGCGGCTACGTACCTCCTCGTAGTAGTAGTAGTAGTAGTAGTTGTTGTTGTTGTTGTTTCAATTTCTTGATGCTTCGTTTCCTTTTGCTCGGATGTGCAGCAGCGTGCAAGTTTTTATTTTGCCTCGTTTACCTACAGCAGTACTTTGATACACGCCTGCCATCCTTGTGGTCGCGCGACACGTTATGTGACCTGTATACATAGGAGGAAGAGAGCGCCCTCCCCCTGATCAAGCACTACTTCACCGGGCCGGAGATGGGGGCCCTGGTCGGGAAGATTATGGGCAAGCGTCCCACCGAGCTGATGCAGGTGAAAAAAGCAAGAAACGTTTTTTTATTAGTTGATGCATCATGTTTTTGGAGACAAGGTTTTGACCTAGAGATTGAATGAGGGCGTCGCCTGCTCGAGCCTCAAAGCGTGCTTGGACGTGCACCGGGGCGAAAAGATGGAGAACGACGTATTATTTTGTTTCCCCCGTTTTCCCCAACCGCACTGTTGTGCGCGCCAGTGTTGGGTGTCCTGTGTGTTCACGTGATAGCACCCACAGAGAGACAAAGAGCACGACTGCCTGCGTTCTAAATAGCTGCTGGTGCCAGCATCCCTGTTGCCCCTCAATCATCTTGGGTGCAACGTTCGTTTCTCTCCTGTAGTCCCTTCACGCCTGCCTCGTGCACAAACCACATGGTTACCTCTCTGCCTTTTTGTCTCCACTCGCTGAGTTGCAACAAAGCAAAGCATTACAGACAATCTTATCGATGATGATCAACAACCTCCCCATCCCCTTCTCTTCTTATTGTTCCCGTTCCCTGCCGTGAAAAAATAAAATAAAAAAATACACGCACACAGACGATATTATCGATGATGATCAACAACCTTCCCGAAGAGGAGGTGCGTACGGTGATGGGCTACATGAAGCACGCCGTGAAGGACACGTACTTCGAGAAGTGGTTGGCTTCGGGGGGGTTCCAGTGGCCGACGAACAGCGCGCCCAGCAACAGCAACAGCAGCCACAGCTTGAAGAACAGCGTGACCAAGATGGTGGGTGGTGTCGCTGTTGTTGTCTCTGTTTTCGATGAGTTCCGCGGGTCATTGCGGTAGTGGTGGTCTGTGTGGGGGGGGAGGGGGGGGAGGGTACTCATGTAAAAAGCATGCCGTCATCGTTATTGCACTGGACTCCTATCGCTACGATGCCGGGACAGAGCAGCGATATGCCCGGTTCTCGCCGGCACAGGAAACCTGTGACTGGGTTGTTTTGCAGGGACTGCCAAAGAGCAGCAGATTGGTGTTGGATAGTGAACAGGACGACCTGCGGAAGACAAAACGGCTACCATAGATTTTACGATGTGACGGTTCTCCCTCTTGGATTCATCGTGCCCGCAGGCGGGAGGAGGAACGGTCACCAAGAGAATCGGAGGCGGTGGCGCCGCGTGGGCCGGAGCGGGGGGGGTTGTCCAGGGCATCGGTTACGCCGCCACCGGTGCTAGCACTACCTCTTCCAGCGGCGTCGGCGGCAGCTGCGGCCACAGCCCGTTCCACCAGGCGGCCTCGCGCTCTTCAGGCGCCCTATCGGCGGACAGTAGTGCCTCCGGCTTCGCCGCGATGCCGGCACCGACAGCAGCAGCATCGGCGCCCGGAGCTGAGGAGAGGCGCGGGGGCGGGGGCATCAAGCGCCAGGGGGGGCCGCTGGGAGAGGCGGCAGCGGGGGTGGGTGGGGGCGCCCGGGGGCTCGACGGGTGTTGCTCTCTGGATCGGGAGTTCGAGGGGTTGAGTCTCCGCGGCGGGTGAGCACGGTAGGGGGGGGATAGGTTCACACGTTTGTCGTTGATACCGGAATGGACAAACGCGCGCCCGAGGTTTTCGGGAGGCATTTTTTTGTTCCGGGTTCGTTTCCTGTGGGGGGCGCACAGTGACGGGCGGCAGAGGTGTTTTTTACCCGCACGCGCGCGAGACTACAATAGCAAAAATACGTGCAGCAGCCAGCCGTACACAGAAGCGACTTAGGACGGAGGATTGTTGGTGTTATTACGAGGGCAAGGGAGAGGTAGTCCGTCGCCCCTCTTCTGCGCGTGCGTGACGCGGGTTGGAGTGTTGGGACCACGGGAGAATGGGTGGCGCACCTGCCTCGTGGTCGTGCCTGGCTGCCCGACGCTCTTCGTGTCATGTGTACAAATGTGGTATGTTTTTTTTTTTTCTTGGCTGCTACTCTGTGCTGTCGCGCGCGCAGGAATTGCGATACCCGTGCTTCGTCGCCATCGCAGGCTGTTTTTTTTATTTTGTGTTCACTGCTACCGCTCTACTGCTACTGTAGGGCGCTACATAGTTGCGATATTCCTGCTTGCGCCTCATCGTTGGTCGACGCGATGAAGGAATGCCACGTAGAAGTATGTATATATACACCTACAGGCTCTTCTAACCCTTGCACGGCGTTTTTGTTGCCGTTCGTGCCTCCGCTCCCGTCTCCCCCCCCCCCCTGCAACCGTTCGTGACGGAAGAAGACGTGGCAGGGACTCGCCGCCGGGCAGCGCCGCCTCCGGTGCGGCGGCTGTCGATGGAGGGTCCAGAGGCTGCGATAGTGATCGGCAGCAAGCAATGGCGGCGGGGGGAGGGCGCGTTAGCGGGGCGGAGTTGAGCCTAGGTCCCGGTGACGGAGAGGAGCGCCGCGATAAGTCGTGCAGCGTGTGCAGCTACATCGGCCGCTGCCCGGTGAACGAGCCGCTGACCCAGATGGAGTTCGAGTCGGCGGTAAAGGTAAGAGGGTAGGTGGATGAATGCATGACGATGGCGGTGACGCTTTTGGCGAAATGATTACCTCACGTGATGTTAAACAGCTTCTTATAAGCTGTTATTTACTCACGTACCGTTCGAAAGCTATCTCGCCTTGAGACGTGATGGTTAGACAAACTGTGCTTGTGCGCGGGCCTGCTGTACCGACGAACCCTCTTGGAAAAAACAAGAAATTTGGAGGGGGGGGGAGACGTATGTGTCTGCGTGGACACTTGGCCGTGTTGTTGTTCATTGGCAAACTCCCGTCTACCTGGTCGTTTATGCAGATGAAGAGAGGTGTCCCGCGGTGTTAGCAAAGTGATGTGTACAACCTTCGTTGGGATGTGTGCGCGGCGGCAGGGAGGGCGGTGCTATGGGTTTTGTGCGGCGTGCTCTTCCAACCGAGACTCTTGCGTGCCGGCGCGTTTTTTATTTTTTGTTTTCGTTGACCCGAAAAGTTCTCCCTTCATTTCGGCAAGCGTTTTCGTTTCGGGCCAGGTTAACAACAACAAACTCCCTCTTTGTGGTCATCTCTCGACGCGGGGATTATTTGATCCGTGTCGTTCCTGATCCCCCCCGCCCTCTTGTTCTCTTGATGGTCACTCCCGCAGCGGTTGGCGCACGTGAGCGACCTTAGCACGGAGCGCAAGAGCGGTTTGGTGCAGGTGCGTTGGTCGCTTGTTTAGAGGAAGCGCAAGAGTAACGACGCGGCGGCGGCTGTTACTTCTACACTGACATGTAGATTTCCAGAGAGCAGAGCATGATGTGATGGTGATGATACTACTGCTGACGTTCTAAAGCTGCTTTAATTTGTCTCTCGCGTGGGAAGTCTCGACAGCAGAGTCGACCTGCATAGGGCAGGAGTGATGGCGCCGTGACGCCCCTCCCTTCTCCTCCTCCCGAAGAAATTTTCGACACACATCCATCCAGTTGCACTCTCCAACGCGTGACGCCGCCCCTCCCTCCCCCTTCCAACTCTCGTCCAGATGATGCGCAACCACATGTACCAGGGCCGGAAGCGCCCCCGGCCGGCGAGCAACACCGCCTCCTCCTCCTCCTCCTCCCCCTCTGCGCGGCCGCCGTTCGCCACCGGCGGAGCATGGCCGCCGCCGGCCGGGGAGGGGGGGGCGGCCGGCAGGCCCGAGGTGGCCTTGGTAGCGCCGGCAAGGTACTACACGTCCACCCAGCCGGACATCGAGGACAGCGGCGGCGCCGCGGATGGGACGTCGGTCCTGCCCCCCACCCTCTTCACCCCGGAGGAGCTAGCTCCGACGTATCACTGCGGCGCCCCCGCGGGCGGCGGGGCTCCCGGCGACGGGGCGGATGCTAAGCTGGGCGGGGAAGGCGGCGGGCCCGGTGGCGCGGAGGTGGCGGTGCTCGGGTGCCCGCACTACCGTCGGGCGTGCAAGATCCGCGCCCCTTGCTGCCAGAAGCTGTTCACGTGCCGGCTCTGCCACGACCAGGTGTCGGACCACAAGATGGATCGGGAGGAGGTGACGGAGATGCTGTGCATGCGGTGCGAGACCCTGCAGCCGATCAACAGGTGCGGTTTCGGGGGAAGGGGGGGGCGGGGCGGGGAGATGGTGCTCGTGTGTGATGATCCACGGAGATGTCTTCGCCTGTCTAGACGTTACTGAATTTTTTGTGTGTGGTCCATTATTTTAGTGGCGTGATCGATGACAATTCGCCGTTCTGGGTGTGGAGCACCGAGTAGTTCTTGGGAGCAGTCCCGCACCCATCCTTGGTCGCAACGCGCTCTTGTTAGCCCGCGCGGTGAGTCTGATTGCCACCCACCTTGATGACGAACTGTATCTTCAGTGCCCGTTCGTTTTGACATCGAAGGCGCAGTCGACCAAATCGCCAACGGCAAAGGTGTTCTATGATTTTTTCGTTGCTCGATCGTCTGTTTCCTCACGTTGCCTCTGCCCCTGCCTCTTCCCGGCCCAACATCCTCCTCCCTGTATGCCTTTCGGACCACGCTGTCGCTTTGCTCTGCGCGCGTGCCTGCGTTTGCGTGTTTCTTTCCTTCTCTTTTCATTTTTTTTGTTTTCAGTGAGTGCCGGAATCCCAGCTGTCGTCCAGCTGCCGCGGAGGGGAAGCCTCCTTGTACTGGGAGGAAGATGGCCAGGTTCGGATTTTGTGTTGAGTGTGTTTCGCAGCAAGGCTTGGGCATCGATCCCACTAAATACGTTACACGCGCGCTCAACTGGGAATACTAAGGCGATTTGCTGTTGTGGACGCGCTGTCGGGTCGTCGGGGCTTCTGATGCAAAGCGCGGGTTGTTCTGTCCTTCAATTCCACTCCCGTGTGGCTGGTGTGTTACTAGTGCTTGTTTGAAGTCTTGGTTCACTACACGCGTACGTACGTAAGTGCTTGTGGTCTCGTCGTCGTCCCTCGAGTGCCTCTCCGTCGCCGGCACGATACAGCTGTAGTCTCATATCTGTGTCTCACGGTTTTGTCATCTCAACATGTTGTTGTTGTTGTTGTTGTTGTTGTTGGGTCCCTTCTTTCGTCTCCCCACGATAGTCGTTGTCTTAACATTTGCTGCGTCTCTTCCCTCCTCGGCCTGACGGTACTCCGTTCCACCTCCATGCGCGTGAGGGATGTCCGCGCGTACACGGGAGTGCATCACCGCCCCGCCATGCCCCACCACTGTTCACGAGAGTAACCTCTCCCTGTCCCCCACCCGAACACGCGCTTCCAGGTACTACTGCGGCATCTGCCACCTGTTCGACGATGCCCCTGAGAAGGACATTTACCACTGCCCCTACTGCAACGTGTGCCGACTTGGGAAAGGGCTGGGAGTGGTGAGTCGAGTCGCTTTGTTGTGAAGCTTAAGAGGACGCCGCCATGTTGGAAGTGTGTGCCCGGACCCGACCCACTTTGCCTGTTTAGTCATATCGTGAGCCGTCTCTTAGTCGCGCCGCCAATGGTTTGTGTACGCTGTGTGACTTGACACAGTTTTGCCTGTTGATGGTCTTGTAAACGTCTCTTTGCCATGTCGACCTGTTGAATATCGCGGGTATATGCTGCTTCCATGCTCTTAAAATGCGGCGGGAATGTTGGGCTGGTAGATGTCTCAGTTTTTTGTGTTGTTTTGGAGAGTCTCTGTCCCTTGTGGCGTTGGTTGGCAACGCTGCCCCTTTGATGGCGATCTACATTTTTCTCGCTCCTTCGCCCTCCTCAGCAGCCTCAGCCTCGAGTCTTGGGCATGGAAGTGCTGCGAGGTGATTAATACACCGCTCCCCACAGCACCTTATTTTTCTTATCTCTCTCTCTCTCTCCCCTCCCGTCCCCTTCCCCTCTTATGTCCATCAACCACACCAGGACTACTATCACTGCATGACCTGCAACGCGTGCGTCTCGATGAACGCGCCGAGCCACACCTGCCTGAGCAAGAGCCTGGAGAGCGATTGCCCCATCTGCAACAACAGCCTCTTCACCTCCACCAGCCAGGTCAAGGGCCTCCGGTGCGGACACTTCATGCACCTCGCGTGCTACAAGGTATGCCGGCTTGCTTGCTCTAGCTGGAGCGGTTTGTCGCCTGAACGGTGTTTATCATGGAGGCTTGTCACCTTGACGTTGACGTTGTACGTCAAGTTGGGTGGTGCATCATCGTGAGCCCTCAGGGAGGATACGGAGTGGTCTTAAAAGTTGTGGACTTGACAGACGACCCGTCGATTTTTTTTTTTCGCCATGTGATGCTGCGTCCCCGAAGCTGAAAACTAAAAAAATATCCCAAACAGAAAAACACCCTACGTTATTGCCATATCATGACATCGATATCACACCCCTCCTTCATGACATGTACAGGAGTACATCGGGAGGGCGGAGTCGAGAGAGTTCTGGTATCGCTGTCCGATCTGCCGCAAGAGCATGGAGGACATGCGCGAGTACTTCTCGCAGATGGTGAGTGGGCCAAGTCACGGCTAGTGCGATGGTGGGGACGGGGGTGTACGGGAGTGTATTTCCGTATGCGGCATTCGGCACACAAGAAAGGCTGAGTTTCAACAACCCTGCGGGTCTTCTCGGCATTATGGCGCACAAGACGCGAATGCACTGGTAGTACATGTTCTCCATCTTGATTGATCCTGGCCCTCCGTTCCTTCTCCTTTGCGCGACGTGCCCCCGCCCCTACCCCCGTGTGTGTTGTTGGCCTTCGATGTTTTCTCTCTGTTTTTTTTTTTCTTTGCGTTTGTCTCTGTGCAATACGTGCTCGGAAAAACCACTACTACGACAACAACGACACCACGACCAACAACAACAACAACAACAAATCAGGACGCGGTTGTCGCCAGTCAACCAATGCCCGGTGAGACCCCAACTATTTACTATTCCCTTGCCAATTTACCGAGAGGGAAGGGTTGGCGGCGAAGCTGTAATTTTGATGCGTTTCGGAGGTTTGTGTTCTGTGCACGGGTTGCTCTCTCGACTACTATTTGTGTGTTTCGTTGTTTTTCCTTCCCATATGTACGTCGCACCACCCCGGGTCATATCTAGGAGGAAGATACGTACAGAATATTGTTTTGTTTTTTGTCCCGGCTTTTCCCCCGTCGGTGCAGGCCGTCGATTTTGTAACCGCCAGTATTACCGCTCAGCAACGGCGTCTTTTTGACACCCAGGTCGTATCCTATCCCCCGTTTCATTCTTAGTCGCTGCCTAAAAAGACTCCCCTCCCAGCCATATCTAAATGTCTCACCCATTTTTTTTTCTCTGTGCTTGTACTATAATACTACTGTACCTCCGTTCGAACCCTTTCGTCTCAGAGGCGTACGCCGGGTGGAAGACGAAGGTACTCTGCCACGACTGCGAGCGCTACACGGAGGTGCCCTACCACTTCTACTACCTCAAGGTATAATGTTGCTCGTAGTTCGACGCCACGTGCGACCTTTCTTTTGTTGAACCACCTGCTGCTGTGACTAATATTATTTGTCAAGGTCTCGGTGGAGATTTGACCTGTTGGTTCTCCGTAAGGTGTGAGTCGTGCACGAGCTGTTATTGGATATCGGTCCTTCCGTGACAGCATTTTGAGATGGCGGGTTCCGATCGACGCATTACTCTCGCGTCATTGGTCGACCGGTTTGCTTTATCGACGGCGTCAACAGGAGTACTCTCTAACACACACAAGCGCGCTCGAATAGTGTAGTGTCAAGGCACTGAAATGGTTGGGTTTCTTGTTTGGGGGGAGATAGTTTTGTCTATCGGAGCTCTCGTTGCTGACGGACTTGAGAGACTGCAATTTTGTTGGTGGTTGCTGTTGGTTCATCTTGTTTTGGTTGGCGTGGGCCCGTGTTTGTCCCTTGCTCCTGGCTACAGCTTGCACGACCTGGAAGTTATTATTTTCTTTGCCTGTGAAAAGTTGGTAAGTTGGTAAGAAGAGGTCGGAACAATTCTCAATGTGAAGATGATATAATGACAACAACAAAACAGCAACAACTACTACTACCATCCTTATCCCCACGTTTGCTCTCCTCGTCCCTCTTCCCCGCTGGGATTTTGTATCAACCGGCGTTCCAGTGCGGAGCTTGTGGATCATACAACACAAGGGCGGAGGAGACGATGCCTCGCGTGGGAGCGGCCGTAGGGGACCTTCCCCGCCCAACCATGCTTCCACCCCCTCCCTTCTCGGCCCCGGTGCCGACAAGCTCGGAAATCGACGGCCAAAACGCTCCTCCCAGGCCTTGATGGACATGAAGAGGGATGCATGAAGGGGGGGGGGGGGGGGGGGGTTGCGGAAGCGCTTCGAAGGGCCACGTAGAGGCGGGAGAGGAGGGGCACAGAGGCGGGGGTGGTGGGGTCAACGCGAGGGTCACGCCACGATGCCACGTCGGTGAAGAGTTGTTGGCGACGTGGTTGGTAACGAACCCGGCAAGAAATGGCAATCCCCCCCCCGTTACCAGGCTAGCGCATGGCAGTCATTCGGGTGACAAGAGCTGCTCTGTGCCGTCGTGACAAAAGCCGGGTCAGTGTTGATTTGAGAAGTGTTGATTGTCGGTTGGGATTTTCGTATCATGGCGAGGACCGTCTGCTGGCGTCCGCGGGACCGAGGTCGTATCCCCCGGCTCGAGGATCAATGAGTAGGCCGTGATGTGGCTCGAGGTAAACGTGCAGTCTGTGGCGTGGAGTCGCCGCTACAGCGAGCAGCGTTGCACAACAGCAAAGGCAACATCCCAGGGGTGCGGAGTGTCTTGGCCCCTCTCATTTTCTTCGTTTTCGTTGTTGGTTTGTTGTGAGAATTTTGTGCGGGCGAAGGAAGTCGAATTGGTCGCGCCGCGGCGGGGGGTAGGAGCGTGCGCCTGGGCGTCTGCCTGGGCCCGGGCATGGTTCTCGGACTCTCTCTCTCTATCCTCTCTCGGCCTGTGGCAGCGTGCATTGCTGTGGCTGTGTGTACAGACTTGCGACGCGTTCCGCGTATCATCGCGGTACGGCACGTCGACTGGCTTTTATATGTGTTTGGCGTCCACCACTGTTCCTTGGGGATTTCGAGCCCGCGGTTCCGGGCGAAGCTTGTGAAATAGTGATTTCAACAAAGCCTCGTAACGATCAAGGCGTGTAGTCGCGGGAAGCGAAGGCGACCATGACGGAACGTTTTCAGTATTTTGCTCGAACTTTTTTTCCTTGTGCGAGTGCTGTGTTCTTGTTTGGTCCGTGCTCGTCCGCTGTTGTTGTCCTTGAACCCTATTTTTTTCTGGTACTATCCATTGCATGAGGATATATTCAGATGGGGGTATAGTATGTATGCGCTTCCCTGTCGTAGTTGCTGAGAAGGGTGCGTTGGATGTGAGATAACTTCTCCCTTTTTGGTGCTGTTTTTTGTATGAAATGTTTGCTCTGAAAAAGATCTGCTACTCTCCTGGGGGGTAGGTCGTGCTTGAAGCATCTATTTAGTTGCCGGTCCTGTATCAGACGCCGGTGCGCGACATCGTGAGAGTGCCGTGATATTTGTCGCTGGTCCTGCATCAGACATCAGTGCGTTGGTTTATTTTGGAGGGGTGTAGACTTTTACGTGTGTACTACTGTTGTTGTAATCTCGGCGCGGTTGACCCTGCCGCTGCTGCAAACATGAAGAGTGTTTTCGTTGTCGACATCACAATCATCACAATTACAGGCCAACTAAGTGGAAAAATCTAACGAAGCGAGTAAGTGGAATGGTGACTGCTGGCCTGTAAGACCGAAGCAAACGCGTGGAATGATACCCGCGGTTGGCCGGTCAAGGAGGTGTGCCATGACTCGCGTTTTGGTCTTGGCGATCGAATTACGCATAGGGGGTGGGGGCACGTTGCCGTAAAAAGAAGTGCCTTTCCGGGATGACGGGCCGGGTGTAAAATAATATTATCTCGGGGTGGGTGCCCACCGACCTCATCTCAAAACGATTTCTTTTTTCACCAGAGAGCAGGTTGGCAAAGGGAGCGCACAAGTTGGACATTCCATGTGTCGGGTTGCTACAGCTCTGTGACGTCAATAAATAAAATGCGGGGAATTTCCACCGGAGATAAGAACAACGCTTGAGAGCAGGGGCAGTGATGAGGTACTGTACGAACATGTGGGGGTGTACCGATTGTGGTACGAAGTCAATTGGCCGTGAGCTGCCGGGAGTTCCGTCTGCCTAACCCATCACGATTGATACCGGTGAGACAGACGGTCTCCTTGACTCCTGCTACCGTACCTCCTCCTTTTAAGTCGCGGACAAATACCACAGGAAACAATCCCCGCCGGTGGCATACACTTGACATCCTGTCGGGTGTGCTGCCTTCCGAACAACAAGTACGAGGTAGGGAAAGTACTCCAAATCAAGTTGAGAAATATTGAGCATCACTTCTTCAACGGCACCAACCACAGCAGCGAGTTTTGAAAGGCGCTGAACGCTTGTTTCTCTTTCACCAGTTAATCGCAAATACCGGAGCCGGAGGCGATCATTTGAGTCACGTGAGCTACAAAACGTGGTGAGAACTGCGTCAGCGTTTTTGTGTCGTGTAAGCGAGGCGGCCGAAACTACTGCTACCTAAACGCGTTGCATCTTTCCGCCGTGTTCCGATGTATTTCAGCAAATTCAAGCCTTCTATAGTAGCAACGGCAGTGGCCGGACGAACGCATGATGACTGACTTTCTCCGTTGAAGGCCGCTGAGCCTGACTAAGCAATCTTCGCCATCTCTGAAGGCCCCTGAAAGAACACCGAGCCTCAAGACGAGCACCATCTCGCCCCCGCCATGTTGTGGGGTTAGAAAACCACCACGACCGCCCGACAATAACGTCAACAACGTCGAACTCATTATTTCTTCTTGCGTCCCGCCACCCTACGAGCTTCACCACTGCTTGCTCTCTTCCCTCTATGAATCGCTAAACTTTGTTCCTGACACAAAAATTTTAAGTGCTAAAGGAGCAGCACAGTCTTCAAAGTGCCTGTGAGTTGACAAGCCCACGTAGACACAACGTCGGCGAGTCCAAAAATCTACGGGAAGGACACTGTACCACCAACAAGAAACCACGTAATGACTATTTACATCCGATTGGCCCAACGCGGTAGTATTTAAACAACAGCATTCATCCCGCGGGAACAGCAAACAGCAGTTCACGATGCCCGCCCTCCCAGAAACCAAGCCAGGCCACTCGCCACGACGGCCGGCAGGACCCTGAACCAGACGGGCCGCACGTCCCACCCCCGCACCCACCAGCACCCGTCCGGCTTGCGGTGGCGCTCCACGTACCCCATCACGAGCCCGTAGGCCAGCACAAGCGCCGGTGCGGGCGCCAGCAGCAGCAGCATGCCCCGCGCGGCGCTCACCACCCAGCCCTGGAACCGCGCCCACACCCATACGGCCAGGAGCAGCCACCGCAGCACCCCCGTGGCGGGGCCCCCGCCGCCGGGTCCCAGCAGCAGGCCCCCGACGATTTTTTGGGCCAGCGCGAGGGAGAGGAGCCACGCGACCAGGGAGAAAACCGCACGCACCTCACACCGAACACCCGGAGTAACCCGGCCGAGGGTCTGCCCCAGAAGCCAGCCGCCGGACGAGTAGCCCGCCCGCACTACGGCCCCGGCGGTCGACCCCGCGTAGGACAACGCCCACCACAGAGCGCTCTCGCTTCCGTCACTAGGTCCGCCCGCCGCCGCCGCCGCCGCACCCCCCCACCCGCCCCCTGCTCCGCACTCCCCGTTGTTGTCTAGCGCGCCAGCAGTCCCTCCTTCCAACGACGTGGCTGCGGGAGCTGCGGCGCCGAAGGGGTTCTGGCAGAAAGGCGGCATGGCACCGGTGACGACCACCCCGCCGCCGCCGCCGTCCGCGCACTCGGCTACCAAGAGCCGCCACGCGGCGTCTAGAATCGCTCCGGGGGCAAGGCTGATCCCCTTCTTGTAGGCGGCGGCAGCGGCGGCGAGGCAGACCTCGAACGCCGAGAGGGCTAGCCAGAAATCGCCGTCGCGCGCCTGGAGCCCCTCCCTCCGCTGGTCGTCCCTCCGGCGCTGGCGGTCCTCTTCCTCCCGCCTGCGCCGCGCTTCCTCGTCTTGCAGCCGCTTCTTCTCCATCACCAGCCGGGCGTCCTCCCGCACGCTGCGCTCGTCCAGCCGCGCGATGTACGCCTGGCGGTAGCTCTCCTCCGCGTCCCGCGCCTTCAGGCTGGACGCTTCCCGCTCGCACGCCCGCCTGTGCTCCTCCTCCAGCTTGGTGACGCAGGCCATGAAGTCCGTCTCCGCGCTGCGCCGCGCCGCCACCACCAGCTCCTGCTGCCGCCGAGAGAGCTGTGTCTCTCCTCCTCCAGCCGAGGACCGGGCCCACGTCGCCACGTCGCTGTTGCCGTCAACTCCCACCGCTGGAGCATCCGCCGGCGGCTGCCGCCGCGGAGAACAAGAAAATTCGCCTCGAACCACCCCGTTGCCTCCGCGCCCGCAATTCTCCTCGGAAACATCCATTCTCCGGTCGCTGGCATCACCATTGTCAGGGGCCCCGCTGGGATGCTTCTCTCCCGCCTCCCGCTTGACGGAGTCGAGAACGAGCCGCCTGCCCACACTGGGGCTTGCGGTGTCTGCGCCGGTGAAGAGTCCGGCACCGCCGTCGTCGACAAGCCTCGGGACATCCCTCAGCAGGAGCGCGGGGCCGCCGGCGGAGTCGAGGCGCACGTTGCATCGCGGGTCGGCGGGGATGCCGTAGATCGACAGTATCCTTCGTGCCTTCACCTCAAGCCGGGCCGCGTGCGCGTTCTCCAGCGACCGCTTCGCGGGTCGGTACTCGTCCAGGTCCTCGCAAGAGAAGGTTTCCGCCTTCACGCAGGCGTTTCGGAGGCGGGACGGGTTGCCTTCTTTCGCCAATTCTTCCGCCGTCTGTGCGATAATTCGGCACGGTCGGCATGCAGCAAAAATTTTGATGTCATCGAGGAAAAACCGACGAGCTAGAAAGAGGAAGAGGTACATACGTCGGCGCTTCGGGAGGTGCCGGGGGGGCATCGTGAGAGGGCAGAACGCCGAGGGCGGCAGGGAACGGAAGATTTGAGCTCGCTTTTGGCGCTTCTGTGAGTACCGCCAAAAGCTCAGCTACAAAAACACCGGTGCCATTGCTTGACTGAACATGATATCGACAACAAGAGAGATGAACGGGGAGTCCACACGGTAAACAGCAACTAAACCCCCGCTCCATCATGCACACACAAATACAAGGACCGTGCTGCCTCTAACCCTCCCACCTTGAGTTCTTGTTGTAACCGCCACCGCTTGCCGCGGACATCCTCCCGCTTCTTCTCGAACTCCTGCACGATCTCGGGGAGCTCCAGTAAGCGAAGCTGCGCGAGCGCCCTGTCCGCCATCTCCAAGTCCCAAGTCTCGAGGCCCAGCTTAAGCCAGTCCACCGCCTCCTGTTCCCTCTCGGCAAGCCTATCGCACCATCGCGCAAGCTCCTCTCGAAACACGCAGCGCGAGTCTGTGCGACGAGCAGTGGTACCCCCGCCCCCCCCGCCGCCGTTGTCGCTGCTGCCGCTAGGCCGCCGGGAGAGCAGCAATGCTGCCCGGGTGGACAGCCGAGCACGCCGAGGCGTACACTGGGGCCGGTTCCGCTTCCGCTGCCACGCCGCGCCACCTCTATCGCCATCGCTGTCGTCGCTCTCGCTGCCGTCATCATCTAGAGCCCCGCCGCCGCTGCTGCCTCCATCCCGCACGCCGCCGCCGCCGCCGGCTAACCGGGCGAGCAGCTGCTCTACCTCCGCCATGACGCCCAGCTCCTGGGCCGCCCGCTCCACCTTCGCCAGCCGCTGCGACAGCTCCCGCGCGCAGGACTCGAGCCGCCGACTCTCCTCCCCCCCCCTGCGCCGCCGAGCGGCTTCCCAAGGGTAACGCCTGCCCAGCTCGAGCCCTTCCTCTACGAGCTCCTGTAGCGCCGCCCGCTGCCGCTCGGCCTCTGCTGCACGTTCCCGGAGACTGCCACTGCTACTGCCAAGACTCCTCAGCCTACTAGTGCTGCTGCTGCTGCTCCCTTGGCGCGCACTCGCCAGCGATCTCTCTTCTTCTAGGGCTAGGTCAGCGGCATCACACAGCCGGCGGAGCCGAAGCGAGAACGAGCGGCGTCGCGCCAGAGTGCGGCGCCCGAGCCATGCCGCGGTGGCCGCGGCCGCGAGCACGCCTCCTGCTAGACCTGCCGACGGGGGGACGAGGAGAGAAGAAGCTGGTTCGGGCGTCGTCGATGCTGCTTCTCCTTCTGCTGGTGGCGGCGGCGTTGTTGGCGGCGAGAGCCAGTCCGGCTCCGGAAACACGAAGTCTGGTGGTACGTCCTCAATCTTGATGTCTTGGTGGTCCAGCCGCACCAGCTATGTGCAAGAAGCAGCGCGAAGCGAGCAAGAGGGAGAGGGGGAAAGGGAGACACAGAGATAACACATTGAGACGCAAGCGAATGTTGCTGCTGTGTACGTGACTGGATCAAACCTGGGATGGATGCCATTGTTGATGTGCAACCCAGAACTCAGAATTTGACCCAGCGTGACGGCGTGAAACATTCATCCTCTGGGGACGTGTGGGTCAACCGAAACAATCAAAGAACCGGGCAATCGGTTGCGATACTACAGCAGTAGCATACTGCTGTGAGAGCTGCAAAGGTTGTACGTACCGACCGTTCCCCACGCCGAATGCCGTTGCTTGTGTGCTCGAAGCGAACGGCGGTGTTTCGTCTACTGTATTCAAAAGTTGCAAAGTTCATTTTACAGGAGCACATGTGGTGCCCGTCAAGGAGATAGTTACGGGCACAGCCAGCAGCCAAACAGACACAACGGCAGGCAAGAACCGTGGCAGCATTCCCCCGGCAAATTGCCTCAACTGACAGGAAAATCTGCACCAGCATTGCGCCGTTTGGATTCACATCATCATCAACGATTGCGGAGAGGCTGTTTCTCACAGGCACTGCCGCGTGAATCTTGATCATGTGTCCCCCATCGGCTTCCGTGACAGCAGGAAGAACCTCGGTTGCGTCAACACGCGGGGCGTCATCTTCTCCTTGTATGGATCCTTCTCTTCCTGTCATGCTGTGTGTGTCGGTGACGCGTTGTGGTGTGTCGGTGCAGTGCAAGGATGTGAACTTTGTGCTGCTGGTGGTGCTGCATCACCTGTCATGCCGCAGCCGTGGGGGGTCAATAGGCGTAGAGCATGATTCACGGTGCCCCCCGGGAAAACTACATAACCACCGCACATCCATCCGATCATCCCCTGGCTCCCGGCTCTGTCTGCTGTTCACAAAGGCAAGCCACAAGACAGAGTCCGTCCGAAAGGGTAACTGATGTCCAGTGCGTCAGCACCTGCAGTATTGGCCCACAGCAGTAGTGAATTTCTCAGATTTCTTCCAGCAGTCATTTCTGCAGTACAGTTGAACTAAAATACAGCTTGTACGAGTCGCCAAATATGCATACCACCCTCCGATCTCCTCGTATTCATGAGCAGTTGTATGCAATTTCTGGTGATAGATATTGTACGAGCGGAGTTGGATATTGCATATGATCCTGGTCAACAACTGTCGAGAGACATAAAATTCGGCGTCGTTACCCCTTTGGTACCCTTGATGTTGAGGTTTCAAGCGCCTAAGAAACGGTGGGGCGTGGTACATAATCAACTACAGTAGTTCCTACTTCATCTGTACCAGCCGGCAGGTTAGGTTTTACAACGCTGCAAGTTTTAGATACTGACTGGTACCCTTCCCATGTTTTAGACTACACGGTACATATTTCAGTCGCGGTCATTTACACGTCACGACGTAGGGTTATTCCCAGTTCGTCCACACCAAGAGAGGAAGGAGTCAATGTCGACATTTCGACACCTTCAATTATGGATCAAGTCAGCCCCCAACATCGGGTGATCATACATACTTGAGCACTGTGTTGCTGGTCTTAATTGCGTCCCCCTCTGCGTTCCGCACGCCCAATCACATCTCGCAGCACCAGCAGCACCAGCAGCCGCAGGGTACGATCCCAAATGGACATTCACCAAGAGCTCCTCTACGCGGCTTGCAAGTAAGTGCGGAAACAACGGAGCGGTCGTGGCCTTTCTCTCAAGCTGCTCCATCGACCTCGAACACAAATCAGCCACCGGCAAGACCCCCTTGGTGGAGGTCTGTTGGGAAGGGCACAAGAGAACCGCGGAGCTCTTGATCCGCGAGGGGGCTGATGTCCACGCGAAAGACGACGCGGACTTCTGCTGCCTACACGCAGCCACCTACCAGGGGCACCTTGCGCTAGTCGACTTGCTGCTCGGCAATGGCGCTGACATGAGGCACTCGATGACGGAAGGTGGGTGATGATGATGATGATGATGATGATGATACAAAGATGTTCCGGCGTACGTAGTGGGTGCGGTGCGCTGTCCACCGAGGACCCCGCCTGTAAACACCGAAGACTGTGTCCCGAAAAGCGCGGGCGTACGCGAAACGTGTGCGATCGATTCTGTATCTATCTATCGATTGCTCCACGACACGAGGTGTGCCAATCCCGACTTGAACTTGCAAAGGAAAAAGCTCTCGACGACATCATTCGCACAGCCACCCTTTTCGGTATTGGCAGCCCCTCTGGTTCTTGGAGCAATGGAGGTTGAAGAATCAATCGCACAACTGTGCGTTCCCTCGTCGCTTCGCAGAAGAAACTGTATGTATCGGGTACACACCAAATACAACATACCCGGAGTGTTTCCCCCCCTCACAAGAATGTGGAGACAACAACAACAACAAGAGGCAAATTTGATCTGTCTGCCCGCGTAACCCCAACCCGCTCCGGCCAGGTCCACCCCGTTCGCGGTGGCGACGGTCCAGAAGAAGTTCGACGCGATGCGGCTTCTCGCCAGGAGGGGGGACGGACGTGCACCCGGTGGCGGCCGGCGGCATCACCCCGCTGAGCATCTCCTGCAGCTCGGCCTCCGTGGCCCCCGTCCGGATCCTTCTCACCGAGCTCGGCATGAACCCCGTGACTCCGATGAACCACGGGTGCCTCCTCCAGGTGATCCTCGGCCTGTGCCAGACCTCGCCCGTGCTCGAGAGCTTCTTGCAGCTCCAGGCGACCCCGGAGGCCCTGAAGCGGCGGCGTCTCGACATCGCCGAGCTGCTCATCTCCTCCGGCATCGACCTGGAGGTGCGGCACCTCGGCGATTCGGCGGTCCACATGGCCGCAGGGTCAGGGTCCCGGAGGCTCATGGTCGCCCTGCTCCGCGCCGGGGCCAGCACCTCCAGCGTGGGGAAGGCCAACGACAACATCTTCGGCACGGCCCTCTCACGGGCAGCGGTGAGCCAGTTCGGGGACAGACAGACAGACAGCATCAGTCTACCTCAGAAATTTACCCCCCCCGAGGAGGACTGCCATTCGCAGCTGCCATCCATATGCAAGGAAGTAAGCACAAGATGCCGACAAACACCCTTAGCAGGATGCAGCGCACCCTCGCCGAATACCTCACCGTGCTTCGCGCTTGGTGATGTGCTAATAGCAACCCGGCATGCTCCTTCTGGGGGAATATTTTGGTTCTTGTGCGGTCTCGAAATTCTGGCAACAATTTCGTCACCCCCCCCCCCCCGGGTGTGTCCACAAGTACGTGTTGTTGTTCTTACGCGCGTAACGTATATGCAAACCAACGGCAGGCCCATTCCCGTCCAGAGGTCGCCCACCTTCTCCTGCAGGCCGGCGCGCACGAAAATGCCCTTGACCAGGTGGGGCGGGACGCCCTGTGTGTCGCCGGAACCTTGGTGTCGTCCATGCCGGCGACCCCGGAGGAAGAGCTCCGGCGCCGGTTATTAGCCGTGGCGCACGTGCTCCACCGCGGCCCGGCATTTCGTGCGATGTCGTGGCGGTGGCCCAGTGCTGCCGCTACCACCACCGCCGCTACCGTTGTGGAAGACAACGGGTCGAGGACTAGCTTGCCCTTGGGGGCACTCTCGGGGTTAACGTTGATACCCCGGCATGGCAAGCGGGGGCCGAGGTTAAGGGCGGCGATGTGGAGGTGAGGTACATAGTAGGAGCTGCCCCCCCCTTAAAGCGCAGGGTAGGGGTATACCACAAAATCAAGGTATGGCAATAGTTGCTGGTGGTGTTTGCGCCCCTAAACTTGGCTTGTCGCATTTTGGACCGCTCGGGAACAGTACGCGGCAAGTTGTAGGGGGGTCGAGCTTTGCGCTGTTTCGCCAAGATGTACCAGCACAATCGCCTTGTGTGGCGATGCGTCCGGTGACGGCCTGCTTTGCTTTTCCTCCCGTAGGATATCATGAGCAGCAATCGGACATGGATACAGTATGTGTCACAAACTGCATCCTCCACGTTGTGATTTGTCCCGGAAAGTCTAGGTTTGGCCTGCAGCATGCTGCTGGCAACCGCAGCAGCTGCACCCACGCCCGTTCGACATTTAGCAGCACGGCGCTGAAATCTCAACGAAGCGTCCACCTAGTGATCAACTTCCTCTCTCTCTCTCTCTCTCTCTCTCTCTCTCTCTCTCTCTCTCTTCTCTCTCTCTGTATGTTTGTATCATGTCTGTCTTCACCTTTGCCTCTGCCTTTGTCTCTGTCGTTTTTGTTCCCTCTCTCTTTCTCTCCCCTCGCTCTCTTCTCTTAATCTTTCCGGTCCTACCCTCGCCGGTGGCGTTGTGTCATCTCGCTGTGCTACTCGACGAAATCATCGTGTCCGGCTTGTCACAGGCACGCCAACAAACGGGTCCCACTGCTGTGAGTCTCTTTCGTCTTGTTTCCGGCCTTGACCCCGCCGCTGCTGGGTGTAATTGCTCCCGCCCTTTGCCTGTGAGCTCTGTCTCCAGCAACGACGTCAATGAAGTTCGTGATTCTGGTACTTGACAAAGCGCAGATGGGGGTGAGCGGCCCAACGGGCCGGCTGCAGGAGCGGCAAAGATGTTCGCCCTGGGTAGTAGTGTTCTACTCGTCGTTCGTGCAGCTAGACATGGTCGCCGTTGCCTTACACGCGTCCCCCGAGGTGTGCGGTAAGAACCAAGGGGAGGCTGACGATCCCAAAGTAAGCCTTCCACAAGCTTCCAAAAACAAGATTATGATTTGTGGATGATGATTCAGCAGCGCGGAACACGTATTTTTGTGCTGGTGCCGGTTCGGGGCAGAGCTGCGGCGTCTGTCACTTGGCCTGTGACGCAGCGTCGCCATTTGCCGTACGGTAAAGCTGTGTACGGGCACATGTTGTTGACTCCGGCTGGAGGTACCTTTCATCCAAGTAGGTGGGGACTGTCCGACGTTAGATGCGTCAGTAGTAACCCCTAGGAAGATTCAGGAACCACAAGTAGGCCACTTTTGGCTAAGTCAACGGCGTGCAGACGCTATTTAAGCATCTATGTAACAAGAGAAACGATCGTCTTACTACTATAATAGGGGACGCTAGGAAGCGCTTGCCTAGTCCTACGACTTCTTGCATAGCTTCTCATCCAGTGGGTTAGCGCTGCCCAACCTCAGCGCCCGTACTCTACGAAAAAAGACACGTGTAAGCGTGTGTGTTGCGTTGTGGAATCGTGCTGACCTGTGCTTTGTTGTGAAGTGTTATTGTGGGCTAGAAACCGGAGTACCGGGTTTGGGAAAAAGAAAACTCGGCGTGCACGTCATTTGGCGATTTCATCGTCGGTATATTGTTGCCAATAGACACTCCCTTGCTTCGCACGAGGGAGAGGATAGCATCGCCAACTCTGGTTTATATTTTTTCGTTGTTGGACTCAACGGGCATGTATCGTACAGGTAAACGGGGTGTTTTATCTTTAGAAACGGGTGTTTTGGCATTTGACAGACACGCAGTGAACAGGTTCGAGGTGTGTGTGTGTGTGTGTGTGTGTATGTGTGTTCGTGTTTTTATTATTAGCATCGACCGCGCTAACCGGCTGACCAATGAAAAGACGTCAGTCTTAGAGTAGTGCGGTTGAAAACACAAAACACTTATATCTGCCATGAACTGGGACCCCGTGAGGGGGCAGCATGGGGGAGGCTAAACTATGCTTCGGATCAAAGACAGAAGCAGCAGCAACAGAAGAAAACTGGACGCATCTACCAAGGCTATTATGTGTGTGTGTGTGTTTTATTTGCATCGACTGCGCTAACCGGTGACCAATGAAAAGACGTCAGTCTCAGTGCGGTGGGAAACACAAAACACTTCTAAATGCCATTAACTGGGACCCCGTGATGGGGCGGCATGTGGGAGACCAATTTATTCTCCGGATCAAAGACTGAATTGGTAGCAACAGAAGAACACTGCACCACGTCTACTGTGTGTGTGTTATTATGATAAGCATCTATTCGTGTGTGCGTTTGATTTTTTTAAAATATTGAGACTCGCCAACCGACTGGTGAAGGAAAGACGTCACCATGGCACGAGGATATGAAACGCAAGCACGTTTTTTAGTCGTCGAACCCCGCCGTGTAAATTTCTAAAATTAGCGTCGACCTCTGTAACCGCCGGCGGACCAATGAAAAGGCGCAAGTCTTCTAGCGGAACAAACCGCGAACGCGCTTTTGTAGTATTGTGTTTGTGTTTTGTCGTCCGACTGATCGTAGTGGACATAAGGTTTCATCCATTTCGGTGTGTTCGGACTCACCAGCCCGGGTCCGCACGGGATTTTTTCATTTTTTCCCAAGTATCTTAGACCCCAATCCCAAAACTAGGAGATTATCCCTTCGTCGGAGCGGGGCATCTACGTCCAGGAATTCCCGCGAGTAGTGCATCCATGAACAACCGCCTTCTTCAACCATGAGGTGTGATTCGCTAAGAGCTTAAGTCGTCTTTGGAGACTCGAGTCCCCGGCCTATCGTTGCTACGCGTACTGAGGTCACCGACGACACGACTGCGACGATGGGCTACAATCAGATGCTGTCGAGTTCATTTAAAGAAGCCTATCAAAACAAGTAACGTCGAGAGGAAACTACGTTGTAAATGTCAGCAACAACACGCGTTTAGTCTGTCTCCATCTGGTAGCGGCTTGTGCTCTTCGGCTCTGCAAATACTGCTGTCCAAAGTCTTGTTGCCGCCCAAGTAACGGCTTGACATGGCTAGAGGTTCGGTGTATCCGGGCGGTGCCGATATTGAAGACCAAGAGCGCCACGCTGCTGCGTGTACGTTTTATCATCCGAAGGTAGACGAGTTTTCCCACAACGTCGGGCTGGGTCAGAGTGGCAACATCACTACATGCAGGATGTGGTAGCAAGTGCCGAGCGCGCGGCCGCCAGTGGCATTTCTTGCTCGAAATGGGGGCCTCGCACACGTGCGCAGCCTCACGGGCCACCGACTGCGTAGCAAAGTCATAGCTGCTGCTTTCACTACAAATGTGTCGCATAGCGCAAGAGGAGGACACACGCAGTTTTCATGCCCCCGTGCCCTGCCCAAAGGCAGCCGTCCTTCTGCCCACGCCTCTCACTTATCATCGCCGGTCCCGGAAACAAACCACGCCCTCGTGTTCTCGACATGACCATAAGACTGCACGACACAAACGCAAAACTGCGACGACTACGACCACAACGCCTCAACAGGAAGTCACCTTTCCCGCCAGCCCTCCGCGGTGCGTGTGTTCGTTCGCCCCCCCCCCCCCCCCCCCGGACCCCCTTTTGGAAAAAAAGAAGGAAAAAATGGGCCTCGGGCCCGGAAAGGTCCCCCCACCCCCCAAAGGACCGGGGGGCAAAATTGGACCCCCCCCCCCCCCCTTTCCCCTAAATAACATGGCCCCCCCCCATCCAAGAAAAAAAAACAAATTTTCCCCAAAAAGCCCGGGGGTTGGCCCCCCACGAAAAAGGGGGGTTTTTTTACCCCCCCCCCCCACTCTCCCAAAGAAACCCCCCGGGGGGGGAAGGGGG